CAATAAGCTCGAGGGTTCCAGGAAGTAAGGAGTAGCAGCTGAAAATTGCACCATATTCAGCAAACTTGAATCGCTTATGAAGCGCAACAAAATACATTGGAGCACCAACTGTGCGAAGCAGAGAAAAGTTTCCAAGAAAGCGGAAAGTGCGAAACAAACATAAAAAAGGTATGCGTGATAAAACATCCACCTGTAAGGATCCTTAGCCGTGAGACACACATGTGCTTCTGCTAGTGCCTGCATCCAATATGCACATACAGTGACATCCTCGTTTGATGGAGATAGCTGAGTGAGAGCTTTCACAAGCAGAACATTTGTCTCGACGGAGAGTGCAGCGTCACAGGGTTGACGTTGTAAGCACCGATAAAGGCATTGCAATGCGCTGCATTTCACCTAAGAAAAAAAGAAATAAGCCTCACAGTTCACATGTACGAAAAGTTCAAAGAAGCTCTAGCTTACCATAGGATCCGCGATGGTAAAAGACTTGAGTATGGTTTCTGCAAGCTGCTTGAACAGTGTGGAAGGCATTTTGTGCATGATACCTTCCAAAAGACAAAGATAGCGCACACTAGTCATATCGCCACCTTTTGCACCTGAATTTATAGATTAACACGCAGAAAAGAATAAATTCATATTCATACCCAATGCGGCCTGTAGCTGTTGCTGAACGAATACTCCAACTCCCGACGCAGCTGCGTGTAACCCATTCTCCATCGATGTCACTGGATCAGTTAACACTGCGCGTACTACGCGCCGAGCCATAGTGCGGACCCAAGGCTTTTCATGAGCGCATAGGGCCGCTACAGAGACGACCATATTTCTGAAAACGCGAAATCAAACCTGTTGTCAAGAAAGAGGGGGAAATACCTAGTATTGGCGTTATTCCAAACGCGAGCGGGTTGGGCGCGAAGAACGACTCCAAGAATAGATAGCAGGTATTTTAGAGGAGAGCTCTCACTCTGTTCAGAGTTCTCCAGCATTTTTGTATACAGAATCTAAGATAAATCACAATTATGGAAAAACATGCGGACTATATGAATTTGTACCTGTACAGTTCTCGAAAACTGTGCTTGCAGAACTTCTTTTGGGACTTTTTTGACAATCAACTGCAAAAGAAAAGCAACAGCAGCCGTCCGACATGGCTCACTGATACTGGTGCCTTCTAGTGCTGTTGTAAGTGCCGCAAAATACTCAACGTCCGTTTCCTTACCTAAAAAACAAGTTAAAAACAGTGGGCAGGCAAAATGGACTCTTCTCACATTCTGGCAGAGTTACGTAGTAGAGCGCCCAAGTACACCGTAGCCCAAACCCCACCTGGCAATTCATGCGCTAATTTTTGAAGAATGCACTTCAAAACTCCACCAGCCCCGCCCATTTTCATCGAATGGGCGTCATTGGTGGAGTTCCGAGCACATTTTTCAAGACTTAGCGCATGAATTGGCGGATGGGGTT